TTTTTTGGTTTTTCTCCGGTACCGGGAACCGAACTCACGACCTTGCGCTTGCCAGGCAGGCGCTTTTGCCGCTGAGCTAAATCCCCAGCCCAGAAATTATTTTTTCTTCATAGATTTATGAAAGAATATATTTTCTCCTTGATAGTATATTTGCTGTATAATGATATTTCACTATTTAATAAATTCCATATGCATTTTGATATATTATTTGAAACTAGTTTTTTCTAGATTATAATTCTGTTCCATAATTCAATTCTTATAGTTAAATCTAGTAGCATTTCTAGGCACTACAGTTGATTTCAAAGAGCTATTTACTATCTCTGACTGTACGACAAACACAATGCTGATGTTAATGTTTTTTTATAATATATTTTATTCTTTGGGCCAACAACATGTGTCCAATCCTACCATTACTATTTATGCATTTTAGGATAACTGTTAATATCTATTTCTTAATATGCAATTAGTTTGTTGAGTTCCATATATTATTGGAATTTTTTTACCAAGAACATTAATCATAATATATAACCTGGCAGTGGATTTATTGGTTATTTATTGCTAGTGTAAATAGGATGTCTTCAATTTTCTGATCAGTTATTAGAAACCATACCTAATATTGATATTTAGAGCTTTCTTCTGGAGGCTGACCAAATCACAGATGAAAGTCTTGGTCTCCTAAAGAAAAATATTAAGGAAAATATTTTATGTCACTAACTATAGCTAAGTAAAACTACATTAATTTTCTACAAATAATCTATTTCAAAATAACTTATGTTTGGGGCTGGGGATTTAGCTCAGCGGCAAAGCGCCTGCCTGGTAAGTGCAAGGTCGTGACTTCGGTTCCCGGTACCGGAGAAAAACCAAAAAAAAAAACAAAAAAAAAAACTTATGTTTGTCCAACTTTCTCCGTTAAGTAAAATTTTTTTCTTCTAAATTGCCTGCCTCTATTGTTTATTGACACAGGGTCCTAGTATGCTGAGGCATATTGCCCTAGAATTTCATGTTTGGAAGACTGCTGTATTGTAAAATTTTATAAATAAACTAATAAATAATTTCAAAATGAATACTCTCTAGACTCATTCTCTTGTGCATATTCTGGCTCTTTTGCACTTTTTTTTGTTTTGTTGGTAGTTAGTTGGGTTTGTTTGTATGTTTAAGACAGGGTCTCATTATGTAATCCAGGCTGTCCTTGAACTTAACTATGGCGCTCAGGCTGGCCTCAAACTTGAGGCGATTCTCCTGCCTCAACCTCCCAAGTGCTGGGATTATAAGTGTTTGCCAATATCCTCGGTGTCTTTTGAGTTTCTTTTTTTTTTTTTTTTCCTTTTTGGTTTTTCTCCGGTACCGGCAATCGAACTCACGACCTCGCTCTTGCCAGGTAGGCGCTGTGCTGCTGAGCTAAATCCCCAGCCCGTCTTTTGAGTTTCTTAAGGGTATTTTTTCTGGGCATGAACTTTTCTTTTTGGTACCGGAAATGGAACACAGGACCTTATGCTTGCCAGGCAGGCTCTGTACTGCTGAGCTATACCCCTGGCCCCCTGATGTGAACTTCTATCAGAACATATCAAGAGAATAAATAACCTGTTTGTTAGACAGCACACCAGTCTGTGTTCTACAGGATGAAAAATCATATTTTTGATATGATTTTTCTGTTTAAAATGACTCAACCTATACAGATGTTCACATTTGTAATAACAATATAAAGAATATTTTATCAATTTGACAAGAGTCTGTATAAATAGTAGTTTATATTAGGATAACAGTCACCCAAAGTAGAATCTTAGGCTATGTTGATTCATTTTTCACAGGAATAGTGGGCCTTAATCCACCACAGATGTTTATATTAGCTAAAATAGGAGAAATGTATGAACTAGAACTTGGAGACAATGCTTATAGTAATATCCTTAAAGTTTAAAAGCTATCAAGGATGACAAAAAGTATAAGTACAGGAGAATTTATCAAATACAACATTCTTTTTTCTTTTTCTGCTTATTTATTTATTTTCTTTTGTCTCTTTGAGACAGGGTTTCACCATGCAATTCTGGCTCACCTTGGACTCACTGTGATCTTCCTGCCTCTGCCTCCCGAGTGCAGGGATTACAGGTGTGCGCTACTGCACCCAGCCACGTACAGCTTTCTAATCATCAAACCAACATAATAATTAGCCAGTGACTAGTCTCTCATATTCCAATGTATGCAGATTACCATGTCATATACTTGTTAATTGTCATTGCCAAAAACCAGCTAGATAGATTCTATTGTTGCTATTATAGTAATATAAGATATTTGAAAATAAATTAGATTCATGTTCAAAAAAGATTATTTTATCAAAAGGGAAAATTTTTAAAGATTTTTAGTAATAGATTGTAATATATATCTTATATTTCAATATTTAAAATAACTCTTTAAATAAAGCCAAAATATAAGTTTCTCTGGCTTGGTTATATATGCAAAGATACTATCCTAATATAATGCTTTACTGTCCTTTTAATGAAGACACTCGTTCTTTTCATGTCTTGTTCCATCAGTAAAACTTCTAAAACATTATCATACAAAAACAATGCCAACAAGTGTCTTTGTATTGAGTTTAAAGGACATGATATTGTTGTCCCTATATTATATTAGCTTCTTATTTAAAATGTATTTACTTAAGAAAAGTTTTATTCTGTGGCTGCACATGCCTGTAATCCCAGCACTCAGGAGGCTGAGGCAGGAAGATAACAGTGAGCTCGTGGGCATCCTGGGCTACAAAGTAAGTTCAAAGCCAGCCTGAACTGCATAGTAAAACTCAGTCTCAAAAAGACAAAGAAAAGAGAAAAAGTGTTATTGACAAACATTACACATTTTATTGCAGTTAGTGTGATGCTTCAACTCATGCATTCAACAAGGTCTTACTATTAAAAGTATGATTAATTTTGTCCAATAAAAATGTTTTATTGTGGAACTTGTACAAAAGAGTTTATAAAATATACATACCTGCTCCTTAAATGAGTGCATATACGTGCATTCCAGTTTTCTCAGTGCTTATATAGTAGAAGGACTCATGCACACAATTTCAAGAAATGTTTGCTAGCATATCATAGCTCAGCTCCGAAGCTGCCAAAACTTAGGAACCTCCTTTTTTTTGCACATTAAGGTCATAGAGTTGTCAGGACCACCTTGTAATAGTCTCATAATTTATCATTGCATACAATTGAGAAAGGTTGCAGGCTGGGAGTATAGCTCAGTTTTAGAGTGTTTGCCTTGCATGCCAAAAGCCCCGGATGAGAGAGAGAGACAGAGACAGAGAGGCTGGAATTTAGTTTCCAGACTCTGATGTGATGCCCATCCTGACTATGCCTTTACCCTAGTCCAACTGAAATAGGCCCTTCCTGAGCTACATCTCATCCTCCAACTTTTGCCTCTGCTTGTACAGAGTGGTATATTGCATTTCTGTAGTATTGGCTAACTTGTGGGTAAATCAGGGGTTTGTAAAGTAGCACACGATGTCCTAAAATCAACTTTACCTTCTGCAGGGACTAAAATCACTTCCAGCTTTTAGTGAGGGATGTCTTTTTACCTGATTAAATAATCAGCCAACCTGTATTCACCATTATGATCCCTCCTGAGCACCGTAGTGAAAGAACCTCATCTGTAGAGTAATATCATTGATTTTACCTCTGACACAACTGCTATATTTATTATTATCAACAGTTCATTTGTTTTTAACGTGCTTGTGTGTGTTAGTTTTTTAAAATGTTATTCCTTATCAAGTGAAATATCCTTAATAACAATTTCTTAGTCTATTGGATTTATACTTTGTCTTTTTACAAGCCACATTGTGCTCCCTCATTACTTCCTAAGTTCATACATTTTCCTCCTGACTTATGAAAATCTTATCATTATCAATATGACATAGCCTCTGATATCATGCCTTGAAAAAGACGTATCCTCTCTATCATAGTCTTTCTAGTAATTTATAACCTCAATCTAACCATGACAAAACATCAGGTAAGCCTAGTTCAAAGAAAATTCTATAAAATAAATGACTGATCTTTTTTCAAATCTTGTAAATAACTGTCATTCCATTAAATAAGCCATACTGTAAAAAGGACACATTCTGTACATTTGACAAAGTTAGTAAAAAAATTCTGAAAAGTTATTCTTTTAGAGTTTTCACTACATCAATAAAATGATCTGAATTTTGCCTGTCTGTTTATATAAAATAAGAGTGTAGAAATGGTTTTATAGCACGTTTCCATCATTTCTCTCCACAGGTGACTCAGCTAATCTAACCTGCAGAGCTTTCTTTGGGTACAGTGGAGATGTTAGTCCCTTAATTTACTGGATGAAGGGAGAGAAGTTTATTGAAGATCTGGATGAAAATCGAGTTTGGGAAAGTGATATTAGGTAAAATATTTTTTTCTTCTAACTTGTGTGGTCAAGTTAACATTTGTTCTGTGAGCACATATAAACAGGTAAAAAAAGGTTTTTTTTCTTTTGCTTTTTCTATTATAATAATAAAAATACTATAATATTTAATGTCAAAAAAGCCATTTCTAAACTAACTGTGGAACTGCAAAAATATGAATGCCATTTGCTACAAATTCAAGAAAAATTTTAAAAAGAGTGTTTCACTAATGAAGTATGAATGTGAGAACAAGATATTATAAAATATAGAAACCCATTCTATGTTTGAAAACATCAGTGCTTTTCATTTGTACAAGCTTTTCTTTAATTGTTGAGATGAAAATCAACATGTTACTATGCATACTCAAACAAACACAATATCTATCAGTTCCTTTTACATGTTTTTGCATTTTAAGCTACCAACTAGAATATAAAACACTTGATGTAATGATAAAGGGCACACAAAATATTTTCATCACCTTTCTTAGTAGAATTGTCAGTCTCCAAATATTTATATAGTGGAAATAATACCAAGAGAATAAACATATAAGATAATATTTGATGACATAATGATTAAGCCTCATTTTTCTCCCAGTGTACTTATATATTTATTCACTTACTTTTAAGTATCAAATCATTCAATGCTGACTAAACACACACTTTTGCATAAATATGTATTTTAATCATAATGTAAATAAGAAAGGCATTCATAATAATAGCTAAATTATGGTCAAAGCAGAGCAACATTCTCCTATCTAAAGTGCATCTTAGAGAAATGTTTTCATTTTGTTTTGTTTTTTGATTATTTTGAGACAGGGTCTGGCTATGTAGTCCAGACTGGCCTTGAACTCAACAGGCTGGTATGCAACTTGTGAATATCCTCCTGCCCCAGCCTCTCAAGTGCTGGGATTACAGGTGTGTGTCACCACACCTGGTCTAAAAATTTATACATATGTATATATATATGTATGTATATATATATATATATATATGCGCACTTTTTAAGTATGATTCCCCCTTTTAAATGTCTTGAGTTTTAAAACTATCAAAGATATAAGATAAAATGTTTTTAATATACAACAAAATGTACAAAGCTATCACATAGCATTATTTCTACTGGGTTCTTCATTTTAGCAACAAATATTCAAGAATGTCTCACTCCAGAGTATTCCAGTAGAATAGTAGAATTCTGGAAGGCCCAGATGGGCAGTTTCCCAATATGCGGTAAAAGTGTTTCCCTCCCATTTTTCATAGTCAAAATTTTACCCGTATATTTTACCCATATTCTTTGAACTGTTAGAATTAAAGAAACACCTTACCTCTGAACATTTTTGCTCTCTATGGTATCATGTGTGCTCTAGGAAATTTCTAGAAAGGTAGTTTTCTTTAGTTCTACATTAAGAAATTTTCTCCGAATTTATCAAACAGGTAGGAAGGTAGAGGTAGGAACGTTGAGAACAGGAAAAGTGAATCTTAGTTTAAAGAAGTTTTCCATTTGTTTGAGTTTAAAGAAGTTTTCCACTTAGCAATCTGAGGGACTGCTAAAATCTTTGACAGTGAGGTTAATAAGCATTTACCATTAATTTTAAATGTCAGAATTAAATGCTTAGGATAACTTTTAGTCTGCAGGTGTATAATTTCATATTTCTTTAAAAATGGACGACTGGTTTGCATCATTAACAAAATTCAGGCTGGAGATTTCAAATGAAATGTCAAAATAACTCAGAAATTTTCTTCTTTTGCAAAAATTAACATGATATATAATTAAGTCTCCAGTCTAAGACTTTAGAATTTATTTTACTTTACATTATATTTGTTCTTAAAAGCTAAGCGAAGCATAAACTTTTCTTCAAGGTCTCACTCACCCCTCTGTTATGACAGTATGATTGTCCTGCTAAGAGAGATAATTAACTGCAAATTCATTAGCATCTACAAAGATAAGCTTCCTCATTAGAAGTGAAGAAAAGGGCATGATATAATTTAATTAACATAACATCAATCCATAGCCAAATCTAAAACAGATTGTGTAGGTATTTTCACACAAACTTCAGATTCATCTACATTTCTTTTTTTGTGTGTATGTGTATGTTTGTGTGGGGTTTTTTGTTTCGTTTTGCTTTATGTTTTAGAATTCTTAAAGAACATCTTGGGGAAAAGGAAGTTTCTATCTCATTAATTGTGAACTCCGTGGAAGAAGGTGACTTGGGAAATTATTCCTGCTATGTTGAAAATGGAAATGGACGTCGACATGCCAGTGTTCTCCTTCATAAACGGGGTGAGTATAACTTTCCACATTTGAGTGATGAACTGAATGTACAATGGAAGGGAAATTGTTGGAAACTCAAAACAAATTTTGTTTTACTACACAAATTTATCCCAACCGAAGTAACAACATTAGCATTAGGGCCGTGAACGCAGACAACATCAGCAATGGAGTTGAGGTTCTGAAGTACAACTTGGGTTTCTTGCTCTGTAAATTGCATAACCATGAGCAAAATAGTTAAATTTCCAAAGTATCGGTTTCTTAATATGTAGAATGGGGAAATTTATATAAACTATTTAGTGTTAAAAGAATAAAACATGACAACCAATGTCATTACCAGGTTTGGGGGTGCTGGAGTCTCCCCCTCGTGGTTTCTAAGTTCTTTTGGTCCTGAGCAAAGACTTGGTCAAGACAAGCACAAAAGGTAGCAAGGTTTTACATTCATTAAAGGTAGGAAAAGAAACAAGCTCTGTAGCATGACTTTAGGCCAAGTAAAAGTAGGAAAATAAATATGTTTTACAGGGCAAAGCGGGCTAATCCCAGGAAACACAGCAGCAGAGGGCTCAATGGGGTCTGTCCTTTTTGTGGCTGTCCTCTCCAAAACCTGCTTCAGTTCTCCTGAGAAGTGCAAAATGCAGGGCTTTGGGAACTGTTCTGCGTATGTGTCCTGGGATTTTGTAATTAATAGGTCCTGCCAACTTCCCCAGTCCGTCTACCACACCCTGTTCTCCTGCCTCAATATGAAGAACTTGATGTAGCACCATTACATAGAACACATAACTTATTTATTGCCCTGAGAAATAACATAAATGTTCTTAAGTCAAAGTTGTGTTCCTTATTGGAAATTGTGTCTTCAGTGTAGAACTACACCTGATAAATTCCCCAGTGTGACATTTCTTGACATTTTTGTCCACATTGAATAACTTTTCTATATATATATATAGTGAAGATTCATAATAATTTCTTATATATATAAATGTACATTGAATTGCTTGAAATTCGAGACAATTGCAAAATATGAGCTGTGCTTTTGAGTTACTGAAATTTTTCATGCATATTAGAAAAGAAAAATACATTTGTTCTACATTATGCTAAGTGAAAATTTACCCGTCTTTGAAATAAGTACATTTGATGTTCTCTTACTCAGCAAATTTACAATGATTTTAATTTAAAAGTACGTGTTTAATCCCAGACTCTTTGAGGTTTGCAAAGAAAGAGAATTATGAAGATTGTTCCCCCTACTTTACAGGCTATAGACTGCCTTTGAATAATGTTACTGAAAAGTATTAAAACAGATGCCTCTGTTGTCAAGGTGACTGCAGTATTAAAACATTCTATTCTTTGGAGATAGAAGTCAAGGGAAAGGTAAACAGAACATAGCAATGTGGTTATTTCTTTCTATATGTTAATATATAGTTAATCAATGAAAAAATTTGAGAGAAAAAACAAATATGCAAAAATAGCTTCTCGGGGCTGAAAGCAACTTAAATGTCATGGAATTTAACTGCTCATCCATCCATAATTTCTTCCTAAGTGGTCTATCAGCTTAGGGTAGGCAACATTCCCTTTTAAGGAAGTTCATTCTATACTTGGAAATTCTGTTTGAAAGCATCCCTATTTCACTCTTTGGCGGCCTGTTGACTCTAGTTCTATATTTTTAATTACTCTTTCCCAAGCCAGCCCTTCAAATTGCTGACGGTCACCATAACCCTGCTAGAACTCTATTGAATCAGATTCACTCTGTTACATTCCTCTTTCATTTGCGAAATCTCTTCATTATTCTTGTCGCTTTTTGAATATACTCTAATTAAAGAGTTTGAATTGTTCTTTAAGTATAGAAATAATGGAGAGAAGTTATAGGGCACATAAAAATCTGTTGATTTGGATGACATGTATTTCCCTTTTCAGGCAGGGAATGGATGACAATTAAGTAGCAATCATAAGGAGAATGGAAGGAAAAGTTAATTCTACCTTAGAGAAAAGTTATTAGAACTCTGGTTCTTCAGAAAGGCATACAGCCAAAAATGGTCAGATACTCCCCTAGGCTATTTTAGGCATGTTTAGTTTAAGGTTAAGTTGCTCAAAACTAAAAGACCTTCCACTTCTAGAAAAATAAGTGATTGAGGAATCAAGAAAGTTATTTGAAGTTCCAGTAATGTCTAAACCCCTAAACCCCTAAACATGGAAAGGAAATTGGCCAGTGTTACAGCAGTTTTTAATACTTAACTCTTCCATGATTTTTTTTCAAATTTCTATGCATATCACCAGCCTTTTACTTCTATTAAGATAAAAGCATTAAGAAACCAAAATTGAAGGTTATGTACTCTGAAAAACTTCTCTGGAAGCTATTGTGTGCCTTCCATTTAAGGGACCTGGAACAAATGAATCATGAATTTACAAAGGCAGTAATGGACATAGTTTTTGGCTCTAGAAGGGCTCATTATCATATGAAATGGTCCCACCTATCTTGCTGAAAAAGAAAGGTCATCCTATGACATAATTGCAACTTCACCATCCCTGCAAGGATCAGAAAAGCAGGACACAGAATATATGAGCCCATAGGTTTGACTTTATCATAGGGTCCCTGGAAAGTTAAATTTCTGTCATGTTAGTGATATAGGAGAAATATAACTTCCAACCTACTGGATGTCAGACACGCTCAGTTTGTGTCTCCTGAAATTGAAGAATGAATTCCAAAGGACAAAGGTTAAGAGTAGGAAAACTTCACTGGGGAATAGGAGAGACAGGAGGAGTCCCAAGTGGGTTACCCCCAAGGCCCTTTGTCCATGGTAATTTATACAGAGAAGTTACAATGTGGATACAATGTGAGTCAAACTACAGTCAACCTGTAAGATTACAAATATAGCCACTTAGCTAATATTGATCCAACAGGGAATAGGGAGAATGTAGCAAAGCCTTATGGCTAGCACCATTCACTTCAGCTTATCTATGAACCCTAAAACAGAGACATTTTGGGGAAGAGATGTGTCTAGTTGTTCTGGTAACCCACCCAGGTGTCTGATGCATATCTGAACTTAATAGACTGGATGGTACTGACTGCAATATAATTTCAACTTTCCATTCATCCTTTAGGGAAGTACTGCCATTCATGCTTTAGGGAAGTATGCAAGTCTGGCCATCATAAATTTATCTTGAGGCCCTGCCTTCTTGAGATGCGCCTCCAGCCACAGTTTTGTTAGTTCTCACCTTCTGCATTGTGCCACTCTCACTGCCTATTAATTTTTACCTAACTTTGCTGCCTATAATATTAGGAATTCTGTTATCAGAGGAGTTGCTATATTACTCAGAAAGCTAATGCTCAGAAAAACAAATGAGAGTTGTTGCTATTAATCCTATGCTTTTGCCATTGACATGTAAGTTCCTTAACTTACCGGCCTTCAAAGTCTTCATTTTTGAAACCTTTTTGGAGAGATACATTAAAATATTTGTTTGACACAGACCATATGTAGCAACAACTGCTATTTCTTCTAACACATAGACTTTGCAGGAACTCTGTCAAAGTTATCTAAGCAATTTTCCCTCCACTGTTATATTTTGTTAAGTATAGGTGACATAATAACATGATTTCAGAATGCTCCAATGTGCTGTATGGATTCTTTGAACTATCACTCCCATCTATCAAATAAGTTTACATTTGTGCTAGGCTCGATCTTGCATTAGACTTTTAATCTCATAGAAGCATTTTAATTTTATAAAAGCAGGCTGAAGGCATACCAGGACGCTTGACCAAAGGAAAACCTTTCTTGAGTATACCGAGTTATCAATTCCTACAACCAGAGAGAACTTAGTTGAAATTAATATATATACATATATGTATATATGATACATAGCACTAAAACACACAGTGAGAGAGACATGAAGAAGGATGGTACAAAGCACATGAGGTTCTGTTACTGGATTTTGGGGTGCTGCAGTCTCCTTCTGGAAGTGGTTTCTAGGTTCTTTTTATCCTGAACAAAGAATTAGTCAAGACAAGCCCAGATGGTAGCAAATTTTTAGTAAGGGTAGGAAAAGAAGAAGCAAGATCGGCAGAGTGAGTTTGGGACAAGCAAAAGTAAGGAAAGAAGTACACCCTACAGTGTGAGGGCAGGCTATCCATGTAAGAGAGAACACAGTGGCCAAATCTCAGTATGACTGTCCTTTTTGTATCATCCACTGCTCAGGCTGGCATTAGGTCTAAGCCATCCTCTGGAAAACTTGTTCAATTCCCATGAGAAATCCACACGCAGGGCTCTGAGAACTGTTCTGTGCATATGTTCCAAGAACTTGTCGTGCCTCCTCTCCCAGCCCCGTTTAGCCATGCCCTATTTTCCTGTCTCAGTTCTTCTGGTCTATGACTGCCTTCTGCCTTACTTCTCACTGTAGGTTTTCTTCAGTCCTCTTTGCCAGTTCCTAGCCTGACAAGATTGAGAGTTAGACCTCACTCAAAATGAATCAAAGTAAAGGGCTGAAAGATTAGTTAGTGCATTATCTATTGTTCTTGTCATTGCCTATACTTGATTGAATTTGTATCTGAGTCTCTGAATCTTTTACCCAGATGTCTTTGCTTGAGCTCTTAATTACTATTGCCTGTGTTAACATGCATGAAATGCTGGCCTTGAGTTTTCTCCAAAATTTTAACCTTTCCTGTTCCATCCATTTTTATGTTTTCAATGTCTCGGATACAATCAATACAGCAGATGGATAAACAACAGCAGTATGTTCTGGACTCAGGCCTATTCACTCCCGCATCCATCAGGCAGTAATGAATTCCTTCTTCACTCTCTGTGTCTTTCATCAGTATTCCCATTAAGGATGACTTCAGGGGCTGGGGATTTAGCTCAGTGGCAAAAGCGCCTGCCTGGCAAGCGCAAGGTCGTGAGTTCGGTTCCCGGTACCGGAGAAAAACCAACAAAAAAAAAAAAAGGATGACTTCACAGCTTGGACGTGCTTACTGTATGCAGCAAAATACCTTAGTGTTACTAGACTTGGTGTTACTGGACGTAAGTACA